ACTACGAAAAAAAAATTAAACCCCAAGTAATGAAGAGAAAGTAGATTATACAGATCAGAAGAAAACCAAGGAAACAGGAAGGAGAAAAACAATGAAACCAACTACTGGTTCTTTCAGACATCAACAAAACTGACAAACCTCTACACAGATTCATTACGGGGGAGGGGGAGTGGACATGAATTACCAATAATAATAATGAATTATGTGACATAGCTACAGATCCTACAGCGGGTGAATAAACACAGTATTATGAGCAATTCGAAGCAACCAAGTTGACACTTTAGATGAAGTGGACTGAATCTTTGTTAAGACCCAAGTAACAAACTGCCTCAGGAAGAAACAAACAACCTGAGTAGCCCTACATAAAAAAAAACAACTGTAGAGCCACCTGGGTGGCTCAGACGGTTGAGTGTCCAGCTTCCAGCTTCGGCTCAGGTCTTGGTGTCATGGTTGTAGGTTCCAGCCTCGCACTGGGCTCCGTGCTGGTGTGGAGCCTACTTACAAACAAACAAAAACTGTAGCTGAAAACTTTCCCTCACACAAAACCCTAGGCCCAGATTGCTCCACCTCTTCATTTAAAAGAGAAATGATAACCTCTTCCAAAAAAATCGCATAGGAGAGAATACATTGAAAACTACAGACCAACATCCCTCATGAACACAGGTATGAAAATTTTATGCAAAATTCTGGCCAACTTAAATCCAACAACTAATCAAAAGTGTGTTACATCATGACCCAGTGAAGCTTATCCCGGGAATGTAAGGTGTACTGAATTCATGAAAAATCATCCTAACACTAAAAGAAAAAAAGTATGATCATTGCCACAGATGGAGACAAAACCATGACAAATTCCAACAACCACTCCTTATAAAAACTCTCGGCAAACGTAAGAGAAGGGCACCTCATGAACCTGATAAAGGTCAAGTACATAAAACCAAAACTAACATTATACTTACTGGTAAAATGGAATGTTTTTCCCCTATGATCAGTCAGATGTCTGCTCTCATGATCTGTTCACCTTTGTTTTTAAAATTTTTTTTCAAGATTTTATTTTTAAGTAATCCCTACACTCATCATGGGGCTTGAACTCACAACCCCGTACCAAGAGCCACACACTCCACTGACTGAGCCAGCCAGGTACCCCTCTGTTCACCTTTGTAATGATGGCTCTATCCAGGGCAATCAGGCAAGACAAAAAAGAGGCAAAGACAGACAGAAAGACAGAAAGACAGAAAGACAGAAAGACAGAAAGAAAGAGGTACCAGATTGGATAGGAAATAAAGCTGAATGTATTTACAATAAAGCTGAATGTAACATGACTGTCTATGTAGAAGATACAATGGATTCCACAAAAAGTTCCTACAACTAGTGAGCTTAACATGCTTCCAGAGAGTATCAATTTACAAAAATTATATTTCTATATACTATAATTCCAAATCAAATTTTTTTAAAAATCACAACAGCACCAAAAAAATATAAAATACTTAAGTACAAAAGATGTGGAAGACCAGTACACTGAAAAGTAAAAAATACAGCCAAGAGAAATTAAGGAAGACCTAACCAAGTGGAGACAATACAACAGCTCTTGCTCACCACATTAAAATGTCGTTTTTCTCCAATGACTCTATAGATTCAATGCAATCCCAATAAAAATCTCACCATTTTGGAGATACTGACTAGGTCATTGTAACTTGTATGGAAATGAAAAGGAACTAGAATAGCCAAAATAATTCTGATAAAGAACAAAATTGGAAAGCTAACACCACCTGGGTTTTGTTTTGGTTTTTTTTTTTAAGATTTTATTTATTTGACAGCTAGATATAGTGAGAGAGGGAACACAAGCGGGGTAGTGGGAGAGGGAGAAGCAGGCTTCCCGCGGAGCAGGGAGCCCGATGCGGGGCTCGATCCCAGGACCCTGGGATCATGACCTGAGCCGAAGGCAGATGCTTAACGACTGAGCCACCCAGATGCCCCACACCACCTGCTTTTAAGAATTACTTACAGTAGGGCGCCTGGGTGGCTCAGTTGGTTAAGCGACTGCCTTCGGCTCAGGTCATGATCCTGGAGTCCCGGGATCGAGTCCCATATCGGGCTCCTTGCTCGGCAGGGGGTCTGCTTCTCCCTCTGACCCTCCCCCCTCTCATGTGCGCTCTCTCTCTCATTCTCTCTCAAATAAAAAATCTTAAAAAAAAAAATTATAAGAATTACTTACAGTAATCACAAGTATGGCACTGTGTGAACACAGATTTAACAGATGGGTGGAAAAGAAAGACACAGTCCCAGAGATAAACTGACACATGTCGGGACAAATGATCCAGATGACAACACAAAGACAGCTCAGTGGAAAAGGGGGAGTCTTTCTAGCAAACGGTGATACAACAGTTGCATACCTACACAAGTAAAAAAAAAAAAAAAACAAAAAACTCTGTGGCTGTACCTCACACTATATACAACAATTAATTTAAAATGAGCCACAGACCTTAAAAACGTAAAATTTTAAATAATACAACCTCTGGGAGAACACCTTTGTGACTCTGGATTAAGCACAGATTTCTTAGGTACAAAACCAAGAGCAAGATCCATAAAAGAAAAAAAACCTGATAAACTAGACTATCTACAAAATTTAAAACTACTACTTTTCAAAAGATACTGTTAGAACAACAAAAGACAAGCCACAGACTGAGAGAATGTATTTGCGATTATAAATCTGATAAGGACTTGTGTACAAAACATATAAAGAACTCCCAAAACTCAGTAATGAAACAACCCAATACAAAAATGGGCAGAACACCTGAACAGACCCTTCACCAAAATGGCAAATGTATATGGTAAGATGTTTGACACTATTAGTCATTAGGAAATACAAATTAAAACTACAATAAGATTCAACTACCTACCTTTTGAATGGCTAAATTAAAGGACCGATCACATCAAGTGTTGATGAGGACATGGAGCCACTGGGGCTTCAATCCCCAGTGACGCGCTTACAGAGGGCGCCATGATGGACCATAGCTCTACTGTTTCTTTCTTTCTTTTTTTTTTTTTAAAGATTTTATTTATTTGACAGAGACAGAGCGAGAGAGGGAACACAAGCAGGGGGAATGGGAAAGGGAGAAGCAGGCTTCCCGCGGAGCAGGGAGCCCAATGCGGGGCTGGATCCCAAGACCCTGGGATCATGACCTGAGCCGAAGGCAGACGCTTAACGACTGAGCCACCCAGGCGCCCCAGCTCTACTGTTTCTTAAGAAGATAAACCGACCGGATGATCCATCTATTCCATTCTTATGTATTTCCCCAAGAGAAATGAAAACGTACTTCTATACAAAGTCTTGCCTTATAAATGTTCACAGAAGCTTTATTGGTAATAGCCCCAAACTGGAAACACCCAGATATTCCTCACCAGGTGAATGGAAATACAAACTGTGCCATAGGATGGGATGGAATACTGCTCAGAAACAGAGAAATGACCTATGAATGTTATGACATCAGTGAATCTCAAAATTAGTAAGCTACGTAAAAGCAGCCTGACAGAAAGAGCACATGCCATAAAAATCCATTTATGTAAAAGTCCAGAAAATGCAAACTAACCTGGAGTGACAGAAAGCACATCAGTGGTTGCCTGGGGCAAGGAGAGGGCACGGGAAGCCTTTAGTGGTGACAGGTATGTTCCTGATCTTGATGGTGTTACAGGTATATACACATCACCAAATCTGGTAGAGGAATGAGTGTGGGAGTGGAGGAGTGAGCAAGTCAACTCTATCATGCACTCAACGCTGTGCTCCAAACCAGGGAAAATAAAACTTACAGAAAAGCTGGGATGCACTTCCAATACGTGATGATTATTGTACGTCAATGTACTGCTCTATACCCTCAAAAATGAAGAGGAGGAGAGTGCTAGGGTCTGAGAGAAAACAGAAGGCGCCATATGGCTACCCAGGAGCTCGGCCGCACCGGGCCCCATGGCAGCACTGTGGGGCTGTGCCAGGGGCCAGCTGGGAGTTTGTAATCCCAAACTCAAAACGACAGCGTTCCACACACTACGTATTTTGTTCAGCCACCGTCGATCCGTTCAGGAACAGGCAGGCACATGGGAGGCGGAGAACTGATGGAAGGAAGTAACTGAGAAGAGGCTCTGGGTGACAAAGGCAGAGGCGGGAAGGAGGGCGGGAGGGACGAGGGCCAGCAGGAACCGTGAAGGCAAGGTCATCATGGGGCTCGTCCTTTCAGGGAAAAACCAACATGGACACGCTGCTGTCCTATGGAAGTCTGTGGGCGATAGGTGCGAGAACATGTGTTAACAGACCGTCTCCTGGTAAGACCAGCACAGCAATGCAGCGGGAAGGTGGGCCTTCCCTAACTCAAGTGTAGCTCCAGACCATCACCTGGGAGACCAAACACACTCCACGTGCATCTGGTCTGCTTGATTAGCCAACTTCGGACAGTTATTTCTCCCACTCAAGCTGCCCCATCCAGTCGTTAATGATGCGAGTGTAGCCCACCCCACAGTCTGCTGGGGCTTTACACTGTGGCTGGTCGTTTAGATGCAGGGGAACCAAACTCGAGGTAAATCATCCGCACCCATCACTCCGAGGTACTTCTACATCGGCCCAGAGCCTGGCCCCAAAGAGAACTGTTGTCTTCCCCCTGCTCTTTTTTTTCTTCTGAAAACAGCCTTAACTACTCCCTCCCTTTTTATGAAGAAGGACTTCAACACTAATGTTCCCTCTCTGCACTTTCAGAGACAACTCGCCCTCCAGTCCACCTTCCACTTCTCCCAATTAACCCAGACCCGCCTTTCAGGAACCGCTTGGATCTTCCACTCCCTGTGGCACCTTCCCGACCAGAACTCCTCATCTCCATGTCCACTTAAGAGGGAATTTCAAGTAGAATCAAAGGAAGCAATCAAAGGCACAGTGTTTAGAGAAAGACAAGCTAAATTTTAAAAAGCAACATGAAAAAGCTCACACTCTACACAAAAATGAATTCATAAAATAGCTTTACCAGTCTCACTATTTTCAGGTGAAGATTCATGTTCTGAGCGATCCAGAGCCAAAGTGCTCCCAGCGGTTTGGTTTGACTCCTGCAAATCTGATAGTGCCACATTCTCATGACTTTTGTCATCATCGTCATTGGCATCCAATCCTGTAATTAGGAATTTTATCCCAAAAGGCAGAATTAGAAGAATAACTTTCTCTTAAAACAAAACAAAATAAAAGCTTACAGTTGCAGTTACTTCAATTTTTTAACTTGACTGTGACAGACCTCCTTGGCTCTTCAATACTGCAACAAACCATGACACAAATTTTAATTAGTAATTTCTTTTTTTAATTCTTTTTTTTTTTTAAGTAGACTCCATGCCCATGGCGGGCCTTGAGCTCACAACCCTGAAATCAAGAGTTGCATGCTCTACTAACTGAACCAGCCAGGTGCCCCAATTAGCAATTTCTTAAAAATGGGTTAAATGGGAACAAAGACAAAGCCTTGAGAGCAAAGGCGCTCCTCATCACAATCATGCTCATAACTCACCCTCCTGGCCGCAGTCTGTGCAAGGGCCCGACGGCTCCTCCCAGTCTGCACTCACACCACCATCCGCTGCACTACCCTCTTCCAAATGCAGCACAGGAGTCCCCCACACTTTAGCATTAGGGTTTAGCTCCGAAACCTTGGCTGTCGGTACCTAGGGGAAAATGTGACAAACATTTGTATCCCAACTCCAATCAAACACAATTTTACTTATTAATTCATACATGAAACGCATCTGTGTGACAGAATTAGGCCAGAAAGGTGGAGTTTTATTTACGTGTACGCTGGGGATAAAATGTGGTGCAAAGTAACAAAAGTTGGTACACCAAGCTCAGCTTCATTCACCATCAGGCTCCTTAGTTCCTACTAAGTGGAAGGCTCTCCAGAAACTGCACGTGAAAGATGAGCTCCCTGCCTTCATGGACATTCAGTAAGTAACTGAGGATCTAACTGTCATCTCTGTTCTAGACACAATTCACAGATTTACAAATCTGAATAGAATGTAGATGGATAAAATTCTTAAATCTCAAACACTCATATAAGCAAAAGCTATAGACAACACAAGACCCTTGGAAGAACAAAGGTCTTCTAACGGGTTTGTCAGGCAGGGGCTTGGTGCTGCCTCTGCTTTGACCCTGCTCATGTCCAAGGATCCTGGCCTCCTTTCTGCTCCAACATGCTTGGCACTTTTGCTCCAAATGCTGTTTGTCCACAACACCCGCCCACAGTGTCCACAACACCCTCCCACTGTCCACACACTCACACCTTCATTTCCTTTGGGGATAGGTGAGCTCTTTTCTGGTGTACCTAACTACCCCAATTTTTCTTCTCTTGCTCACAAACCTCAAGTGGATCCCTGAGTCTAAAGAAAAATCAACGTCTCTGGGACAGCTGCTCCCCCAACTAACTCCAGTTCATTGTCACAATTTTGTCAGCAAACCTAGCCAAATAATTTTCCTTTGCCTTGATACCACCATGCAGAGGTCAGAGCTTCCTAGGAGAGGGACAAGGGTCCTGGTCCCAGGAGCTCTCAGGGAACGCCAGGCAGGAGCCCTGAACTGGGAGGAGCCTCCCTGCATGACCCCTAAGTGCAGATGTTACCCAATACTCCAGGTGTGAAGAGGGTCAGGAAATATGATGAGCCATCAAGGACATGTGTGGATTCATCATCTTTACAAGACAGAATAAATTCATTCTGGCTGGGGTGATTAAGGCTTTGCAGTGAGAAACAAAACTCTGACACTGACAGGAGAGGCCCATGTGGTTAAACGAAGCATGCACTCTGTTCACACCTAAGAGGTGAGGGAGCCGAACAGCGCAAAGGCACAGACCCAGATGCCTAGGTGAGGCCTCTGTGGGATTCTCTTTATGAAGCAGGGTTCCCCTTCTTTGGGAGCATCACACTCCAGAAGCACGGCTCTTCAGTCTCCCTTCTTATAGGACATCGAAACTGCCAGTTTGTTTCCAGTGCACTTTTGGTCTCTCTCCTCCCCGCATCTGTCCAGTCAATACTCCCTACATGCTCACTAAGCGCCAGTCCCAGTGCTCAGCAGTCAGGATAAAATGGTGAAGCAGACACAACCCCTGCCCTCCTGAGCAAAGAGAACGATACAGGAGACACTCCATATTTCAAAGACATCACTACCCTCCCTCAGCATCTACACGACTTCCATCTGTTTTTGTTTCTTATTTTGTTTTGTTCTGAACTCATGCCCCTTCCTCTTTCTTAGTCCAATGCTGCTATCAAGGCCTTTTTCTGACTGGACTCTCCACCATGCAACAACACACATCGAGCTTTCCCACACTACGGTATTCAACCCACTGCCATGGCCCCCTGACCGCAGGTACACACTACACATCCTCTAAGTTCCTACCACCCACTAACACAGGTCCTTCCCACTGTGAGCACCTTCTGCAGCTACCTGCACTGGAGCATTCCCAACACGGACTGCACGTCATACCAGGAGCACAGTGCCCGAAAGCAACCTCCTCAGAGCCACCGCAGGACTAGCCCTGCTACAGCACATCTGTCCTTCCCACTAGTCCATCAACTCTTGCATGGCCCTTTTGTTCGCCACTGTATCGCTAATACCTAGCAGCTCTGACCTCAGTACAGTCATGCCTGAGAAATATGCTCAAGGAATGAATGTTTAATAAAGCAACAACATAAAAAAACTGTATTTTCCACTATTGGACAAATGGTGCAAAAGTTTTATGCCACAACTGAATAGAAACCTGTCCTTATGGGGGCGCCTGGGTGGCTCAGTCTTTAAGCATCTGCCTTCAGCTCAGGTCGTGGTCCCAGGGTTCTGGGATCAAGCCCTGCAACGGGCTCCCTGTTCCATGGGGAGCCTGCTTCTCCCTCTCCCACTCCCCCTGCTTGTGTTCCCTCTCTCGCTGTCTCTCTCTCTGTCAAATAAATAGTATCTTTGAGAAATCAAAAAAAAAGAAAACCTATCCTTATGTAATCTACTACTTCTTAAGTGGTAAATACTCAAATCCAAGTCAAATATTTGGGACTTCACACAATTTTAAGCAGTTAACCAGTATTCAAGTGATACTCTTAAGTGACAAGGGATGAAAGAATGGAGACACATACTTAGGAGCTGATGATACAACAACTACCTCGAGTCCACAAGGTACCAGGCACATTCCATGTACCTTCTTGAGCTTAATCAAGACAACCCTATGAGGGTTTCATAGAGAAGAAAACCAAGGCAGAGAGAGGTTCAGTAACATGCCCACAAAGACAGTAATTAGAAAACTGTTCTAACATCAGCAAAAACAAAACATTACCAAGAGTTCATTACCTTTTGTAATTCACATGAAAAATAACCTGTCTTGGTTGTATTTCTTTAAGGTGTGGGTCTTCTCTTGCAGTCATGTGGAACTCTAAGCGTCCATCAACAACTCAAGTTTCACCTGCTTGACTACATGTCTTATTTTTCCACTGAAAATTCATGGCTAAGCAGTGGTTATTAAAACCAAAAGTGAGCTGACCTTAACAGCCATGCCCTAGAGCAATTTTATATAAATGACCACCACCACTCTTTCGAAGTACAGCATCCATAAATTCTGACGCTCCTAAGAAACTCTACCCCCCAACACTAGGCTCCATTTAAAAAAAAATCCCAAACCTAACAATTCATAAATCTGTGTTTTCTGGACATGAGAAAGAATGGTCCCACTGACAAGTTACTAAGTAGGAATCAGAGTAACCAGTATCAGAGAAGAGGACAAGGGAGCTGGGGAATAAAGTAGGTGAGACACTGAGGGAAAGAAACTTTCAAACTTTTTATTTCAAGTTAACATGGACTATTCCTAGAGTTGCCACCAAAGAAGATTAATCATTCAGAGCAGTCCACTGGCTCTTTATCTGCAAAATGGAGTAACAGCCACTACCTAAGACTGGTATGAAAAAAAGGTCCGGACAAGTACTTTGAGAAATGAAGTTGTGAAAAGAAAGCACCTGCATTAAAGGTACTCAAATCAGAACACTGCCCAGGCATATGTCACAATCGAAAAGGACACGCATATCTCACGTAAATGGCAGCACCAGGGCCCGTGTGCGCACTACATGGATGAACCAAGCGTAGACACGGACAGCTGACTGGTAATCACACCCACTTATGTAAACAATTATGTGCGTATTACTTAAAGGCCTAATTTTGTAGTGTTTTGCTTCCACAACTACTTAAGAAACAAAAGCAATTAACTTGAATGTAACTCCTTTTGGCAAAAGTCCCAAATGTGGAAATGGAAAGGAGGTTAATCAGTAATTCCCTAAGTTACAGGGTTACATTTATACTTATGTTCATATAATTGGCATTAACATTTGAATCACGTCTATCTCCTTACTACCATCAATCATTTTTCTTGCTTAATGCAACAAAAATCACTAATAATAAACTATCCTGGGGCACCTGGGTGGCTCAGTCGATTAAGCAGCTGCCTTCACCTCGCATCATGATCCCAGGGTCCTGGGATTCAGCCCCGTGTCAGGCTCCCTGCTCAGGGGGTAGTCTGCTTGTCTGTCTTTCCCTGCCTCTGCCCCCCTCCACTTGTGTGTGCATGTGCGCACACTCTCTCTCTCTTCTCTCAAATAAAATCTTTAAGAAAAAATTTAAAAAACTATTATCAAAAAGATATGAAACAGTAAGTGTTGGTGAGGATGCTAACAAGGAACGTAGTACATTGTTGGCGGGAATGTAAAATGGTGCAGCCACTCTAGAAAACAGCATGGAGGGTCCTCAAAAAACCGAAAGGTGATCCAGCATTCCTACTTCTGGATATTTACCTGAAGAAAACAAAAAATACTAATTTGAAAAAAAATATCTGCACCCCATGTACACTGCAGCATTATCTACAAGAGCCAAGATATGGAAACAACCTAAGTTGTCTGCTGATGGATAAAGAAGATGTGGGATATATGCAATGGAATATTACTCAGTCATTAAAAAAGAATGAAATCTTGCCATTTCCAATAACGTGGATGGAACTAAAGCGTATTTTGCTAAGTGAAATAAGTCAGACAAACCCCTATGATCTCACTTATATGTAGAATTTAAAAACAAACAAATAAACCAAGCTCACAGACAGAACAAATTGGTGGCTGCCAGAGGTGGGGGTGGGGGTTGGGAAAATGTGTTTTTGTTTTTCATTTTTTGTGGTGTGTTTTTTTTAAAGATTTTTTATTTATTTGTTAGAGAGAGAGAGAGAAGCAGGGGGAGATGCAGGCAGAGGGTGAAGCAGACTCCCTGCTGAGCAAGTAGCCCAATGTGGGACTCGATCCCAGGACTGGTCCTGGGATCATGACCTGAGCCAAAGGCAGACGCTTCACCAACTGAGCCACCCATGCGCCCGTTTTTAGTTAAAATAAACTGAATTTATAAACAAACTACTGGTTGAGTCAATGAGATTCTGCTGTTAGAAGTATGCCTTTCAATTATACATGTCCAAAAGGACTACTTTAAGGGCAAGACTAACTTCATGTTTGTTGAATGTTTGTGCTCATCACAGACTATCTAGAAAGATGGTCCAGTTAGCTGCCTGCTGCGGCAGCATCTGTGAAGCTTTCTCCAAATGAGCAGGGCCTGAGCACCATGGTTGGCAAGCTCTGCAGGTGCTTCTGGCTGACAGGAGACAGACTTCAGAGCCAGTTAAAAGCAGCAAATTTGTGGCAGAAAGCACAGATTTTGAGTCTACTGTCCAATTGTGGCCTTTGTGAAAGGACTTTAAAATTCAATGGACAAATGCCTGCTCTGCTCCAACAAGGGGGTCGTGAGGAAGGACCCTGGCTGGACAGGGCAGCCCTCAGGAACACACAACGTCCACACACAGAAGAGGTCTGCACCAAGCTGTGTCTGAGGGCCAGCAGTGCTGGGTTTAGTGCTAACAAGACCTGGCACGCAAACTCTGGCCTAAATATACCAAACAGTAAATTGAGTCACACTCACAGGTTGGAAATGGTTAAGCTGATGCTACAGTAACTCACAGCCTGACATAAACATTCAAATGACTGCCCATTATTTAGAACAAAGCTTCGTGGAAGTTAAAAGCAATCAAAGTGAAACACTAGCATTTCACAGCACAATAATAAAAACTGGTAAAACATACTTACTAACTGTCCACCTCTATTTTGCCATCCCCAAATAACAGCATCTTCTGCCACTGGTAGCTGATAAGGGGGCTTCTCCATCCAGAATAGAGCGACCTCTAGGTCTGGTGGCTTCCTGTGCAGACACTCATTAGGTACCTGCTCCTCTTCTAAGGCATCTTTCCCAACTGTATGAGCCCACAGACAGCCCTCTTGAAACCCACCGCAGCCATCGGCCAGTCCTTCAGAAAACGTCTGACTTGCAAACCCGCCCACTGGGTAACAGGCAAGTTCATTAAAAAACTGAGAGTACAATTCCTCTGGGAAGCTCTGCAAACCCCCTCTTGCCGGATTTTCAGGTATATTTACAGCATCTTCTGTGAGTGAGAAGATACGGTCCCCACAATGTGGTACTGCTATTTCTGCACTGTCCCCTGGGATGACAGGAACGACCTGCAGCACCTTGTGAGGAGGGTCTGTGTATCTGTCCACTTGGGCCACACAGGAATATCCCTCAAGAGTCTCACCTAATTCCATTTCTCTAAAAGTCACCTGTGGACTTCCCACAGAATCCACTCCACTGTTTAATGCAGGTCCATTCAGTGCGGGTTTGGCATGTCTTTGCCTGACATGGTGTGCATGTGTGCTCATTCCACGCACGTCGATGTTGTCTCTCTCCCCTCCCTTACCTGTTGGTGCTGGCTTGCTTGCCCCCGACGTGCCACCCCCTAAGGCATCAGAACTCTCCTCAGCTGACTCTGAGAAAACCTGCTCCAGTCCTGCATTTTCACCGTTGTTAACAGAGTCTTTCTCCTCTACTTGTGACCTCTGCTCACCTGGATTCGGACGTTGGTTTAGAGGTGGTGCAAGATCAAGATCCTTATGTCTGTAGTCACTCACTGCACAAGTTTCATCATTCTCTTCTATGTGACTGGTTCTGCAACTGGGCTGTTCTGTGCTGTCTGACCTACTGCAAGCCTGTACATCCCGACTAGGCACTGCCCTGCGGGGTGCTGTGCTTGTTTCCCCGTTAAAGGTGGTTTCAGCGTCAGACTTCACATCTCCTCTGTCATTCTCACTGGTCTCTCTGTGACTGGCTTTCAGTGACTCTTTTCCGGCACTTTCTAATCTTCGCTGGTCACTCTCTGCATTCTTCACACACATTTCATCTTCTGTTTTAAAATTCAGGCCAATTTCACTTTCTTCTTCAGGCCAGGTGAAAGCAAATGCGGAGGAGATAAAGTTACCCTGAAAACAACTAAAGCCATCAAGAGACTTGCCATCTGGGGGCACTTCCTGGGAGCTTCTGAGTTCCGGGGTGCCCGTTCTTTGGAACACTCCCTCCGTGTCTGTCTTGCACAGCGTACCAGTTAAATCACAGATCTGTGCCTGGGCCCTCCCGGTCCCAGTATCTGCACACAGGTCTACCTGATGTGAAGATCTCCATTCAAAAGCCCTCTGTCCATGACTCTCTTCTTCAAAAATGCTCATTTTATCCTTATCTTGATAAGATGAACTATTCTCAGATTGCAAAGACAACTGTGCTTTGTTTGCAGGCTGGATGCTTCCAGGTTTCAGGCTGCGGACACCCTGCTGCTGCCCCTCGGCCATCGCTGCCCCTAGAAGGCGGTCCAGTCCAGGATCCCCAGGTCCCTTGGGGGCTACTTCTTGGAAACTGGCATGAATGGGAAGACGCTCATTTCTAAAGCTCAGGGAAGTGACACACCTTTCCAAACTTAAATGAATCCTATCTAGACTCCGGGGAAGGAGACTACTTTCTGGTCTGCTAACATCGAAGCTGAAATAACCATTGTTTTTCAGCGGTCTGACAGAATTATCTTCTCTTTCCTTTTCAGAGTTTAAACTCTGACCTACACTAGCTGCTACAGCCCCAGATTCACCATTTCTTTCAACTTCGGAAGGGTTGGTAAGTAAATCAACAAGTGAATCACCCATCGGACCTACCTGTTCTAGACTACAGTTCTCACTTTCTTCAGGGACAGCGCACACACGTTCCAGGGAGCCAGTGTCTACGTTACTGTTAAATTCAGGGAGTACGCCCACATTAGGTAATGCACTGCCTTCTGTGTAATCTTTAGGGAACCCGGTGTAAGTGTGAGCCCTTAAAGACACAGTCGTTAGTTCAAAACCAGGTTTAGTATTTTCCTTAAAAACTTCCTTCATTTCATTTGGACCGGGCATGCCCCGTGGGGACAGCTCTTCCTGCGAGGCGGCTGACTGTCCTGGGCCTTGTGCAGCCTTCCCCAGCAGCGAGGCCCCTCTGCGAACTCCCTCAGAGATGACAGCTGACCGACTTTCTGCCACGGCAGCTGCCCCGCACACGGGGGCACACAGCTCCTCGGCCACGTCCAGGCAGTCAGGATCTACAACACAAATACTGTAAAACTCGCTCTCTCTCCAAGCCCTTTGTGCTTTGTGCTCAGCATTCATCTCCCTACCAGACCTACCTGAAGAGTTATTACCACTACTGATTTGAACACCTGCGGCCACTTCTTTCTCTGTGACGGACTTTATACAAGTGGCTGGGAAATGGCCAAGATGGCTCTGTACAAGGGCTCCTCCCCGCACGCCCTGGCCAGAAGGCACCAGGACGCATGAAAGAGACTCGTCACCTCTGGAACAAACATCTTCAGAGAAACCCCGTTTAATGACAGGGCTCACACAACGAGTGACTGAGACACTGTCACAACCCTGCTCAAGAGCAACCATTTCTGAATTCTTATCACTCTCATCTGAACTTTCATACCTAGTTAGGAACTGAGACACTGGAGAGGAAACAGAGTCTGATGACTGCCTCAGCCCCAGACCCTGCAGGTGCCCTGGCCTCACAAAAGCCCTCGTCCACAGATTAGTTCCGGCGACTGCCCTGCTGCCTCCATGTCCAACACTGTGAAGCTCCTCACCTTCAAGGGTATCAAATAATGAAGACAAAGCTTTACTTATCTTGTTCTCTGACTCCGCCTCCTCCACAGATTCCGGCAACAGGCCAGCTTTTTCATTGTCACTGTCACTACTTAATTCTTTACTGAAGCAACAACCCATGTTCGAAAGTTCAAAAAGCTCAGAGAACCATGCCTGGTGTTTTCTGAGCCTCCATAAGTGCATCTCACGCTAACTTGCTATAATTTCTGACGAGAAGCCAACACCCAGATACCAAAAATAACCCCTTGCACAGCAGTCACATGTCCCTGCCACTCAAATCCAAAATCCAAACTACAACAGGCCCTGCCGAACAGCCATCCTCCTCCACGCACTAAAACCAAAAGCACGTGGAATCCAAAGATTCAGAAGAACAATACATAATTTTCATAGTATTTTTCCTATTCTCATAAACTCAAAAAAAGAAGTCCCCACAATTGTTATCCCAGCCAGAACAAGACATTTCAGACTCCTGTGTTTTCCACACTGTTTCAGCATTCTCTGAGTTACATATCATGGGATGCGGGCAACCCAAGAGGTTAGCATGTATATTCCCCAAGGAGAAACAACAATAAAGATGTGTTCTTAAGAACGTATAGGCAGTTACAGCTGCAGCTCATTTTCTGCTTTGAGAACGAAGTCCGCAGGGGTATGGAGGAATAACTACGAGGCACGACGCTGGAATGGTGTCCATGAGGTATGCACATTGGAGTATTTATGGTGAATGGCACATCGCCTGGGATTTGCTTTAAAACACCCCAGCGAGTCAAGAAGTAAATACATACATATCTTTTTTTTTTTTTTTAAAGTGTGTGTGTAGAGGGAAGGAAGAGAGAAAATAAAAGTAGCAAAATGAGAGGGGTAACTCTTCAAGGTCACTACGGGCACACAGGGTTTACTTTATTATTCTAATTTGCACAGATGTCTACAAATTCTCACTAAGACAAAGGAAAGAGCAAGAGAGATAAAAAGAAAATCTAACACCCACCAGGCCAATAGCAGTAAGTCCCTCGAAAGTTCCCAAAACCCCTCCTGGTCCAGGTTATCTGTTCAGGTATGAGGCTCAGTTCTACATGCATAAGCTTTGGCAAATCATCTAATTTCTGTATCAGTATTCTCATTTGTATAATGGGGCCAACAACAGCTATTTTATTTTTTTTTTTTTTAAAGATTTTATTTATTTATTTGAGAGAGAGAATGAGAGAAAGAGAGCAGGAGAGGGGGGAGGGTCAGAGGGAGAAACAGACTCCCTGCCGAGCAGGGAGCCCGATGCGGGACTCGATCCTGGGACTCCAGGATCATGACCTGAGCCGAAGGCAGTCGCTTAACCAACTGAGCCACCCAGGCGCCCAACAACAGCTATTTTAAAGAGTTGTCATGAAGACATTAAGTAAAATATTCAGATCAGAACCTTAATACCCATCCGAAGTCCTCACACTCTGGCCCCAGCCCACCTCTAGCATCACCTCTTACTCTATAATGCCACCCTCCTTACCTTCTCTACTTCATCCAAAGAACCCAACCAAACAACCCCAGCATGCTCATCTGTCATGTCTCCTAGCCATGCTTTCCCAATCTCACCATCCTTTGTAAGGCCATCCCTCCCAACTGTGTAAGATGACCATCTCCCATCCCCACTGGTCACTCTTTATGCCTCTAGGAAAAGATGCTAGCAGCAAGTCTTAGTGCCTGTACCATCAACTACCTCAAACCGGAGTCTGTAGTGGCCTTAGAATCTGCAGGTGCTCTAAAAGGATTAAAAGATGCAAACACAGGGACATCTGAGTGGCTCAGTCGGTTAAGCATCCAACTTTTGATTTCAGCTCATAATCTCAAGGTCATGGGATCAAGCCCTGTGTCAGGCTCCACGCTCAGTGTGGTCTCTGCTTGTCCCTCTCCCTCTGCTCCTCCCCGCACTTGTGCATACTCTCTCTCTTTCAAATAAATAAATTTAATTTAAAAAGATGCAAACACAAAATCTTAAAGATAAGCCCATGTTTGCACCTAAGTTTAGGAGCACAGCAGCACCGTGCGACAATACTTAAAGTGACCTGCTCTACTGAGAAAAGAGTTGGATTTATAATGTCCCAAATTCACTCATGCGTGATGAGGGCCAAGCGACACCAGGTATGCCATAGAAACAAACCGGCAGGGGCGCCTGGGTGGCTTAGTCATTAGGTGTCTGCCTTCGGCTCAGGTCATGATCCCAGGGTCCTAGGATCCAGCGCCGCATTGGGCTCCCTGCTCAGCGGGAAGCCTGCTTCTCCCTCTCCCACTCCCCCTGCTTGTGTTCCCTCTCTACTGTGTCTCTGTCAAATAAATAAATAGTCTTAAAAACAAACAAACAAACAGGCAAAAGTCGTGGGCAAGTTGTTCACATGGTGTTGAGGAGCTCAGGCTGTGGTAAATTCAAAGAAACCGTGGGTAACTAGTACCACAAGTACCTGGCAACGTAGCTTTAGTTCCAGCAAAACATCACCTGCCAGACTAAATGAATGTCATTAATTTGCATTTTACTGGTTTAGGCAATGAAGTTTTACATTTGTGTAAAAATTACATGCATGAAGAGTTTATCAGTAGTTCTCTATTATTAGAAAAACAATTTAATAACAACTTAGAAAAAGTTCTCATTTAAAAGGTTACAAAAGGTCGAGCAAAATCATGAACTAATAAGCAGCTCTAACCTTTCATTCCCCTCAGAAATATCAAGAAAACAATCAAAAGGGATGCCAGGGTGGCTCAGTCGGTTAAGTGTCTGCCTTCAGCTCAGGTCATGATCCCAGGGTCCTGAATTGAGTCGGGCTCCCTGCTCAGCAGGGAGTCTGCTTCTCTCTCTCCCTCCACCTCTCCCCCTGCTCATCCTTGCACTCTCACTCGCACGCTCTCTCTCTCTCTCTCACATAAATAAAATCTTTAAAAATAAAAAAAAATTAGAAGTTTAAAATAAAAAAAGAACCATCTGAAGCCCACAAAAGCTAGGGTGAAACTCTTTGGGAAATCAGGGCAATCAAAAGCAGCCATGTATATGGGAAATTCCGAAAGCCACATCCAGGCAAGACAGATGCTCAAAACAGTCCTGAGAAGGCCTTAGGCTTTCACCCTGGGGTGATCCCCTAGTCTCTAAGCAAGCTGAGGTAATCAGGGAGGGACTCTCAAAACAGAGCCAGTCTATGAAGACTGGGAAGGGTAGCTGTATTCTCTCTGTTTTCTTCGGGGAGGAGGGGGTCTGGACTGTCTGTTTCAGTTCATGGCATTAACAGAAATCTCTGTCAAAATATTAGCTGAACACAAGCTAAAGGAACAGAGGCTTCAATGAACACATACGACAAGGAACAGTCTTTACAAAAATAACTTAGCAAAGTCTCAAAACAGTAAGACATTATACACATTATAAATAAAATCAAATGCCCAGTTCTCAACAACAACAACAACAACAACAAAAATCACAAGGCATACAAAGAAAACAGGAAAACATGACTCATTCAAAGGAACAAAATTCACTATCCCCAAGAAAGCGCAGACATGGGACTTACTCCACAAGGACTTTAAAACAACATTTTTAAATATGCTCAAAGAGCAAAGGAAAAACATGGACAAGGAACTAACGTTAATCAGTAAAACGATATATGAACAAAATGAGAATACCAACAAAGAGATAAGTATTTATAAAAAGAACCAAAACGAAATATTCTGGAGCTGAACAACAGTACAGTTACTGAATTGAAAAATTCACTAGAGGAGTTCAACAGCAGACTTGGATAGGCAGAAGAATCAGCAAATTTGAACAGGGGACAAATGAAATTATCTAGAGGAGTAAAAAAAATAAACAGAAAAGTGAGTGGAGCCTAAAGTGAGTGGACACCATCTATGTCCCATATGGACCATCGTGGGAGTCCCAGCAGGGGAAGGGCAAGAGAGAATATTTGAAGAAATAGTGGCCAAAACTTCCCAATCATGATAAATACATAAATTTACAAATCCACAATCTCAATAAACTTCACATAGGATAAACACAAAGAGACCCATACCAAGACACATTACAATCAAACTGCTAAAAAACAATCTTGAAAGCAGCAAGAAAAAAGCTACTTGTCAGGTACAAGAGCTCTTCAATAAGAATATCAGCCAGTTTATCATTAGAAACATTACAGGCTAAGAAGGCAGGGGCTGATATATTTAAAGCACTGAAAGAAAAAACCGTCCAGGGCGCCTGGGTGGCTCAGTCGTTAAGCGTCTGCCTTTGGCTCAGGTCATGATCCCAGGGTCCTGGGATCAAGTCCCACATCGGGCTCCCTGCTCTGCGGGAAGCCTGCTTCTCCCTCTCCCACTCCCCCTGCTTGCTGCTCTCGCTATGTCTCTCTCTGTCAAAAAAATAAATAAAATCTTTAAAAAAAAAAAAAAGAAAGAAAGAAAGAAAAAACCGTCCAATGAGAATTCCTTATCCAGCAAAACTGTCCTTCAAAACTGAAGAAGAAATTAAAACATTCCCAAATAAACAAAAAGTTGAAATAGTTTGTTAACACCAGGTCTGCCCTGAAAGAAAGGCTAAAGGAGTCCTTCAGGCTGAAATGAAAAAACATGACACAGTAATTCAAAGCTGTATGAAGACATAAAGCTCTCTGATAAAGGTGAATACATGGACAATTACAAAAACTATTATTGCTGCTTTGATTTACTGCTCCACTTTTTATTTTCTACAAATTTAAAAGGCAAATGCCTAAAAATAATTATAAATCTATGTTATTGGGCATATAGTAATAAAGATGTAAATTTGTGACTCCAGTAACACAAAGGAGGGGGAGAATTTTACAGGAAGTACAGTTTTTGTGTGCTATTAAGGTTAAGTAGGATCAATTTAAATTAGGCAGTTACAACTTTTGGATGTTATATGTAATTCCTATGGTAACCAGATATACGATTAGATAAAGATAAGTTTTTAGAATAAACAACTAACTAAACTATCAATTATGCCATGCTGATAATGAAAATTTTCAATTTAGGTAAAGTATGCCTTGCAAAGAAGTATCAATGAAGTACATTACACGGTTTCCTGCCCTTACGGGTCTTAAAACTCCTGAGGGAAAACTAAGACATTTGAAACATTTTTAATAAATAATATAGAACATAATTTCTTAAATAAATTTTAATCAAATATCTAAGAAGTAATATAGGTGATTAGAAAAGGATGAATCAATGAAGAGAAAAGTTATAGCCAAGAATGCCCTTGCAGGGGCGCCTGGGTGGCTCAGTTGATTAAGCAACTGCCTTCGGCTCAGGTCATGATCCTGGAGTCCCGGGATCGAGTCCCGCATCGGGCTCCCTGCTCAGCAGGGAGTCTGCTTCTCCCTCTGACCCTCCCCCCTCTCATGCTCTATCTCATTCTCTCTCTC